ACAAAGAACTTCATCCTGGAACATTTTAAAACATAAGAGTAAGCGAGCTTGCGATCGTACCTTAATTTCTCCACGATCATCTAACCATTGCAACTTGTAAGGCTGAGGATGCTTGAACGTAGGAAGGTTCACTTTCTTGACAAGTTCCATGCTCACACAGTTTGTGCAACTTCCTCCATCCACGATCACAAGACATGTCTTATTATTCACGTTACACCTTGTATGGAAAATATTGGTGCGTTGCTCGAGATTCTTGTCTTGAGCTAGTTGGATACTAAGAGCATGAGCTAGTACCATAGCTCGAGGTACGTCTTCCTCATAGACAACCTCATCTTCACTCTCACAAGCTCCCTTATCATACATTTGACTAGTTGTAGCTTGCCCGGTTATTGTTAAAACCATATTAGATTGATCGTGCACATCTTCTTCTTCACTTTTATAGTACCAATCATCTCGAAGGACCATTACCTTCTTATTGGGACAATCGGATGCATAATGTCCTCTTCCTTTACACTTGAAGCACCGTACATTGGCAGATGAACCTATTTTGACACCGTGTGTCTTCTCTAATGATTTGGTAACCTCGGCGTTTAAGCAACCTGTTTAGGTTGACTAAAACTTGGAGCCGTCTCTTCTTAGGAGTACTCCCCACCGATTTGATCCAAAGGATGATGTACTAGTAGAAGATGTCCTTGCTCGCTTGCGGCGAAGATTCCTTCATTTGCCTCTCAATAGTGTCGGCCTTATCCACCAAATCATCAAGATCATGATAAGACTGTAAGTCCACTCTATGTCGAATGGGAAGGTTCAAACCATGTAGAAACCTTGTCATACTTTTTCTTCATCTTCTTCCAATTGACATTTAAGCTTCAAAGTATTCATGTCTTGGTAGTATTCCCGACCGAACTACTTCCTCGCTTAAGATCTTGCAACCCACCTCGAAGCTTCCTTTGAAAGGATGCTGGGACAAAAGCCTTCGCATTACACGTGAAAGCTCTCCCAAGTGGTGATTGCGGGATCTTTCTCTTCTTCTCCAACGTTGTACCTCATTCCACCATGTAGAAGCATATCCATGAAATTCGACACGGCTAAATTCAGCTTCTTTCCTCGAATAATTGTTGAGATTAAAGATCCGGTTGATATGATCTTCCCAATCAATATACGCATCAGATCCGGCTTGCCACGAAATTCTGGAATCTTCTGCTTGATAGTGTTCATGTTATCATCAAATCTAGGCTGCCTTTGTCGATCATGCCTAAATTCTTCTTCATGCTCAACACCATCATCACCATTTTGTTCCCTTGGAATTTCTTCTCGCTCTCCTTGACCTTCTTCTTCTCGGTTACCATCTTGTCCTTCATTACCACGTCCACCATCATGACCACGTCTGGCATTGCCACGTCCGCCATGGATGTTCCTACGTGCAACAAGGTTAGGTCCAGGATTTACCAACGGATCCCTAACTTGGGCAAGTTGGTTTATTTGACGAGCAGTTTCTTCTTGTTGGCGAATGGTCTCTTCTTGTCGTCGTTGTTGATGTGCCATTGCCATCGTCATAAGTTGCAATTGATTTGTTAATACTGGAATCTTATCTTTAAAATCTTGCACAGTATCATTCAGCATTCCATGTTTAGAAGGAGGTAAAGCTTTGTCTCCTATGTTTCCTGAAACACAACTCAACACACACAAGAACAAGAAAAAGAATATCGAAGAACTCACTTCCTGGTTACCCCTCCCAACTATTCTACTTACTCCCCAAGATCTCTCAAGAAGGTTTAGAATTTAGTAAGGGATGGATTCACTCTTTTCTTACCACTATCTTTGTCTTTTAATTCTTTAGTGCAATGAAGAATAGTGCCACAAGAAGTACTTTATTGAAACAAATAAAGAGGATCAAAAAGTAAGGTTCTAGAAATAATTGTAACAAGATCTAAGGAAGAACACGAATATAGATCAAGTAGTTATAATTATGAAAACTTAGATCTCACAAAAAGGCTAATAGAACTTGGAGCAAATTCTGAAAAATAAAAGCTTCGACTCAGGGTTATAGACAAAACCCTATTTCGGCCAATACACAAATAAAGGGCTTATATCTGCGAAACCCTAGCCACCAAAGATCCAAGTATTTCGAAAAAGATATGTGCAAATAATAGTAATTGCACTTCAAATCAAACTCAAATATCAATATCCTTCTATGCCGTCTTTCTTTTTATTTTTACTTTTTTTTCACGGTTTTTTTTTTTACTAAAAAAAAAGTGGATTAGGGATTAAGATACCCTAGATCCGATAATATAGGAGAAGAAAATTTTTTTTTCTACTAACAATAATGGATCTAACTATAACAACTTCAATCAAATCAAACAAGAATACAATCGAAGCAAAATAGTGAGATCTATAATAAAAGACTCAAAAATTCAAAAGAACAATTAGAGATCTAACCAAAGATGAGCTTTAGTAGATCAAAACAAAAACAAGTCTTCAAGAACCTAAGCTCTGAGGCCAATTGATACGAAGTATCAATTTGCACTTGACTCTACTTGCAAGTTTTCAAAAACCAAGGCTCTGAGGCCAATTGATATGAATCTTGAGGCAAATGTGGCAGATTTACCTCGACGCGGAAGCTATGAATTTCCCAGGACTTGAAAACTTGCAAATCCAATATTATGGACTCCACAACTCACGAAAATTAAAAGAAAAGAAGAGATGCAAACCACAAAAATTTGCACCAAAAAGGGATGGAAAATTTTAGAAGATGTAGAAAGTGTTTAAGGTTAGCAACCCAATCGGTCACCTCTCTAACAACCCTATCCCTTCAATTTATGGATATAATCGCTAGCGAAAAGGCTCCAATGAACAATTAACAAAGCTCGCAAGTAGAAAAACACCTATTCTACTCGGATGCATCAACAAAGCACAAGCTTGTGTGCAATGCACTAATCTTCGAAAAGAGTAGAAAAAGAACAAAGAGTTTCCTCTCATCTCATATTGAAAAAATTCATCAAAGGTACAAATAAAAGGCTGGCTAAACACCCCTATTTATAGTAGAGGGGGCCGAAATTCTCCTATGAAGTAGGAGAAGAGTTTGATCTCTAACTCTATTCCTACTTTAAAGAACTAGAAATCAACTTAACCTCTAATTGGTAACTTGTGTCTTATCTATTAAGGCAATGTATCTAGACACCTTTATAGACTTAAGACCCACTAGTCTATTCTCTCAAAAGAATCTTATCCTAATCTTGAAAAAAATCTTCCTGAGTTGTCAACTCTATCAATATCTTCTTTGTAGAGTAATCATATCCATCCAATCTTGATCTAATCTCCATCCAACGGTTGAGAGTAGACACCAAGGAATAGACTTCTTATTTTGAATAAACTCTAAATTAGATAAAAGAGAAACATATCAAATCTTATCATTCCATGTGTTAAGATTTAAATGATCTTATCTCCAAAAGATAGGGAATCTTCCAAATCTTATCCTTCTACAAGTGTGATAAGATTTAAATGATTTTATCCCTAAAAGATAGAGATTCCAACTCCTAAAAATTAGGAGATAGGGCTGGCCTCCCTTGCTTGGTTTGTGGGCCGAAATTTCCTTCCTCAAATGGGCCTTGTAACACGTTAATAATCTTGGGCTTGTAACTTCCAGACTTGACATTCTCTTGGGCTAAACCATTTGATATAAGATTATTAAGTGCACTCCTCATCCTTTTACTTCTAGTTTGAGTTATTGGGCCTCCAATGTTGGATAATGGATCTTGAGCCACTCCTTGAGCTTGGACAGTACTTGGAACCCAAATACCTTGTTCATCTTGGACTTGATTACCATGAATGTTCACATCAGATGATATTGAGATAAGGAAGGCGTCTAAGACTCTTTTAGGCTCAAATCCAAAATGAGCTTCCACTTCATAGTACTCGTGTGGTTTAGAGTATTTACGCAATGGATATTTTGTGGTGATGTTCTGGGAATTTGCATTTTGTACATGGAACTTGTAGTGATCCTGTCTATGTTTATCTAGACACTACTATATTTTGGGTGTATTATGTTTGGTTCTTTCTAAACAGTTGCTATTATGTTTGAATCCGGTTATCACATTTAAAGGTGTTCTTGTGTTTAAAACTATTTGTCATTGTTAATTTGGTTAACGCACTTGTTAAAGCTATTTGACATTGTCGTATTTCTAAACTACATTATGATAGTCATGTTTATGTGTAGTAACTTCCCGTGTTAAAAGTAATCGTATGTACATTTTCACAAATGATGTCCTGTATACTGCCTAATTCGATTTAGGGCAATCTCGTTTGAAGACACACAAATCTGATAATAAAATTACGCCGGATTAACACTGCTTCTGTTTCTTTTTTTAAACACACATACTTCATTTCATTGAACAAACTACTAGACATACATTACACAGTTTGCATGGTTGAAAGCTTTTCCAATTAAAGCTTCTCCATATATTACATGGTGATACTACACATACATTACATGGTGATGAAAGCTTCTCAAAAGCCACCTACGACTTACACAGTTTGCAGAAAACACATCTTCTAGAACAAGGGAATTTAACCTGTATTTTTTTTATTAAAAAAAAGTAATCCAAAGCTACGTACGACTTAAATGGTAAGACCAACACAAGGAGAAAAATCATGACATTAACTATAAACACTGCAATTAGGCCAAACAGTATCGAATCCAATTTTGATTTGCACTTGCAGCATTCAAGCTTTGGTTTCTTCCCAACATTTTCGTATTTCCCTGATACAAATTCTTTCCCAATCTGCTCAATCCCAGACTCTTTTGCTTGTATAATCCAAGATTGACAAGTTGCAACATTTCTTTTCTGCATCCCTTCTTAAATCGACCCAGAATTGGTGTTGGTGTGATCAAACCATTTCAAAAATCCATGATTTGGGCATCTATATATAATAGAGTTGTCCTGATTGGATGTCGGCGGAATTAGGATGGCTTTCATCTGACATTTGGCACAAGTTAAATTCTATATCACCATTTTCGCAAAAGAGACTGTTCGAGTGTGATTAGCCATAGCCAGTGGATCTACTTGAAGTGGTAACTGATTTCCGGAGAAAAAAATGGAGAGAAGATTGCTTTCCGGTGTCGACGATTCCTCCTTCTGCTTTACAATTTCAGGCGTCGAGGATTCCGTCCTTCTGCTTCACTCAAGATTTCTCCCCGGTCTTCAATATTTTTTTTTTCTGTTTGGGGTGGTGGATTACGATCGGGGAAGAGAAGAGATGGTGACCCGATCGAAATTAGAGTTTTTGGAAGGGTGGGAATTGGGATTTGTCAATATAAATATATATATATATATATTGGTAAAAATTACTTATAGTAAATAGTAAATCAGAAAATATAAATAAAACCCACATTAATAGAAAAAATCCATGGGCCAGTCTGAATAGGTTAACGGGTCGTGTGTTTGCCCACTACAGTACCGAAATGACAAAATAGCCCCTTCTAGAAAGGCACGTGCAAGTCATCCTTCCGTTACTTTTTTGACGGGGAACGGACGGAAAAGTGGCTATAGACAGAAATTCAACTTTTGGTGGGATTTAAGTTGTTTTTGAACTTGTGGTGGTGAACGATTATAGCAGGCGAGTTTATGGTACTTTATGGTACTAAACTTAGCTAGCAGGTCTCCAATTATTCCATCACAAACCATAAACCATAGGGCAGTGCTTATGAACTTACCATAATACAATTTCCTAGAACATTTTACAGAAGAAAACCTTCTACGTAAATATGGAAAGCACTCTTGATCACGCTTCGAAAGCCCTTTTACATATCTAGGCAATTTATCATACAAATCAAATTTAATGGAAGAGCCATGTGATGCAATTTTAGCCAATATATCTACCACATAATTAGCCTCTCTGTAGATATGTGCAATAGAGTAACCTCCCCGCTGTATGATTGTTACGATTTCCACCATCTGAAAAATAATATCTCCAAGGGAAAGGGGCATTGGTTGCAACAAGATCTGCAAGACTTTGATTGTCTGTTTGTACTGAGACTTGAAAAAGGTTCAAGGTCTCACATTTTCTCAAAACATATGGCATTTCGTAAACATAGATACCTCCCATTCCACGAATGGCAAAGCCATATCCAGTGTCTCCTGTATTTAAAGATTCATCAGAATGAAGAACATAATTATTTGAATTAAGTGTCTTCTTTTTTGTTATTTATATTTTAAACAATCACATATATATATATATATATGTATATGTGTATATATCTATTATGCACTTTCGTTTTACAATCTTACTCTCATCTAATCCGACCCTCTCATTCCCAAATGTTTATTTTATTTTTTTAAAATTTTTGCAAATACACTGTAGAAATATTGATGATGAATCAAATTTGTGGATTAAATATTAGTACTTGGTTCAAAAGAAAAAACATAAAAGGCAGAAGAAATTTGTTTGGTAACTGAAAAAAGAAGGAAAAGAAAACACGAATCAAATGTCCTTATACTTGCTCTATATGTATTATTCTCATTGCCAAATAAAAGGGCGATCCTTCTTCTGTAACAGTTTTACAGACAACATTTTCAGTTACTATAGTACACGGGAGTAAAATAGAAGCACGCACACAGTGGTTTCTTCAAAGCGATACTTACTAGAAACTAACCTTCAAAGTGTGAATAGTTATGCAATTTTGGAGGTTTTACATCTTCAATATTTCTGTCAAAGCACTATAGCACCTGCGAGGAAACATTCAAAATCCTAAGAAATATATAAAGCATGTAGAGCGTTAAAGTGTCATGCATTCTTCATAGTGCTACTTAATGAGATGATAATATTAGTCCATATCAATGAGACGAGACCGTCCTGAATTATGGGGAGAGCTAACCGACTTTCATTTATAATATTAGTCCGTATCAAATACTCCCTCCGTCCCAAAATTATTGTCCACTTTGAATTTTCATTTTTAGTATAAATTATACTAAAAGTGAGAATCAAACTGGACAATAATTATGAGACAGAGGGAGTATATATCAAGATACTACAGAGTTTTATACCTAAAGATTTTTCACAAACGAGAGTAAAATTATCATGCAGTGTGAATTGTGGAAAAAACAAATGGATCTCAGCATATTCAAATAAAACACTTAATTGGATAGCTTTTAATGGCATGCCTATCGCACTTACCTCCAAGGTAGATGATCCAAAAACATAGAAGGTGCTACTATTATATCCTTAAAATTTTCTCTGTTTGCAATGTAGGCCTTGTAACTGAAATCATGGTCCCAGGTACTCGAACGTCTCCGAAAAGGATTCTGGCCACTTGTATCCTTGGGCACTACATGGATGATTGTTCCAGGAATAAACATTTCCGGGATATTACTTAATCTCTTTTGATGTGTAGGAACGACATCCACAAACTTGAACATGGGATCATAATGATCTTCAGAACATGTACTTGAGGTATTATCATAAAAAAAAGTTGATTTAGAAAAACTATTGTTGTAATCTGATTCATCTAGTTTCTCTCTTTCTTGCAAGCAAGACTGAACATCTCCTTCTTCACATCCTACAAACAAATTCAATCATTAAATTTTTTTATAATAAAAATGCGCCAAGTGTTGCTTACAAAAAAACTTCAAATATGGTTTCTTTGAACATTTTAAAATATAATACTACGTCATATATTATAGTAAAAAAAAAGTTATAGTTTATTCTCGATTTTGTTTCTTTCTATCAAAAGCACGTGTTTTTTACATAATCCCCCCTCTTTGTCTCCTTAGTATATTACAATCAACAATAGTTATCATTCAAAATGAAGTATGGATTCAAAATGAAGTATGGGAATGTATCCTTACAAAAATTCGAAACAAAGTGGACGGTTTAGTTAGTATGCATTATCTCAACTATGTCATAAGTTTTGTCCTAAAGCAATTATTAACCAAAAAAAAAGCCCTAATGGAAAAAAAAATTCGAAATAAAATATGCAAATACTAAAAGTTAAAGATCAAGTCCACTGATTCCATCTCAGTATTCATCCAGTAATATATACAGAAAATATGTGAATTTAAATTGATGATATAGGGAAATGTGAATGTTCAAAAGTTCATGGGATATCACTAATATCAATTCAATCATTGCAATTAACAGTTAGTAGAAACAAAATCCTAAACAGATTACCATCTCTATGTTGAATGTTCCCAAAACATTGTGGCGTTTGTGGTCCAGTGTTGCAAAAAGAGCACGAGACCAATTTTCGCTCTTTCGTTTCTGTTTTTTCTGTAAAATCTCTATAGAACAAATAGTTGTGCATGAGTTTTGATACTATTGTTGACCCGGCTAACCTTTCTTGAGAAAGTGCATCTACTGCAGATGCTTGGAGTCTCATGACTGAAGCCACCGAAAGGCGAGACGAGAATTCATTGTTAAAGACTACACTGCAACATATGACAAATTGATAATGACGAATAGTGCTTGCAACTCCAAATCCTTAAACATCTAAATACACAACGGTAATAAATCACTCCATTTGGAATATTAGATTGACTTTTTGGCTCACCTTTTTATACTCGAGACTTCCAGTATCTATGATCTATTATAACTTTTCTAGCATATAAAACATACGGTTGTATTACAGTGTGAAAAGAGTTTTATTTCTCTAAAAGGTCACTCATGAGTTTTGTTAATAATAGAAGACTAAAATTTGAAAATAATAATTTACATTTGAGCAAATTCACATTTTGGTCCTCTACATTAAAATTTCTAAAATGGTCCTTTGCATTTCAGCATGCTTTTATGGTCCTTTGAAATTATTCATGCATTGACCAGATTTAGGGTGAAGTAAATAGGGGTATTTTCAAAATAATTTTTTGTATTTTTTTAAAAACTTATATTGAATACAATATTAATATATATTAAAATATGTTATTAAAAATAATTAAGAATTTGAAATAGATATTAAAAATGATAAAAATTGAAATTTGTTATTTTTAAACTAAATAAAAAGTAATAAAGATAATTTTTCTTTATTGCACAAAATTTTATATTATTCTTAATTTGGAAAGCTAGGGATAAACTATAAAAAAAATTACTTTTAAAGCAATCTATAACCTAAAAAAATTAAGTTAAAATTTAATATTTTCTTCAAATATAATATCTTATTTTAGATTTTTAACTTACAAAATTTTATGAACTACATTTAGACAGTAAATTCGTCAAAAAATAAAAAATATTATGAATATATCTAATTTATTCATTTTTTAAAACTTGTCCTCAATAAAAAATGGAAGAAATAATATTTGATAGAGATTATTAATATATTAAACAATAATTATGGAGATTTTTTCATACCAAATAAAGTTTACTGTAAGCATTGAAAATATAAATTAAAAAATAACTTTAGAAAACAAAATTTTAAAAAAATATTTTTTAAGGAATTTCATTTATGTTCTTTTTTAAAAAAAGGAATCTAAATTTCATATTTAGTATTTTAAATATAATATTTTATTAGAAATAACCCTAAATCTTATGTAAGTGTAAACAATTTTAGAATAGTATCTCTTTTAAAAAATTAATTAAGAAGATGATTTTTTTTTTTAGAAATTTACTATATAAATCTATTTCCCTACAATTTCATAAGTTGAAAAATCTATAAAAAAATAAATAGATTTGAAGGTCACATTAAAATTTAACTTAATTATATTTTTATTTAAGAGATTTTTGTAAGAGTAATATTTAAACTAAATTGACGGGATGTTGAATTTTTAACCGCCTCTCTCACTCTCTCCCGAAACCCTAACACGCCGCATCTCGACCTTCTTCATTGGCGACCGCCATGGCCGGCAATCAACGGGGGGGGGGGTCCCCACTGGACCCCTCGGTCCTTTGCAAGTTTCTTTCAACAAGCTGCGGAATCAGATGGACAGAAAGCCTTACTAATAAAGCTGGTGAAATTCATTGATTGGGGCACCGATACTGGAATTTGAAGACGATGAATTCGAGCGGCTTGTGGTACCACATCGGCTCAGTTTGGTAGGGAAATTCTCCTATGGAAGACCCAAGATGGATGAAACTCATAAAGAATTTCGCAAGATAGGGTTTCAGGGATGCTATACGATTGGACTGATGAACCCTAGCACATCCTTATTCGTTTTGATCGCGAGGAGGATTACCAAAAGTTCTGGATTAGAACGTTCTGGAATATTGCAGGGTACTCGATGCGTATCTTGAAGTGGACTCCCAGTTTTAAGTACGAAGAAGACCCGCCAATTGTTCCGATATGGGTATCGCTGTATGAACTTCCGGTGGAATATCTCAATCCGAAGGTTATTTTCTCTATGGCGACTGCTATTGGAAAGCCACTTAAGGTGGATATACCCACAGTGAATATGACAAGGTCGTCAGTAGCCAGATTCTGTGTAGAAGCTGATTTGACAAAAGAATTTCTGAAGTTTGTAAGAATTGGGAAGAAGGGAAGGAAGTTTGATCAATACTTCACTGAACCAATTGATCTGATTGTTGATAAGGAGGGTCAAAGCCACCAATTTGACCCCCCTGAAAATTGCTAATCTAGGATGATGTTCATATTGATTATCACCGCGAAGAGGATTTGGATGATGGTCAAATCGCTGGAAGTGGCCGATGGTCAGAGGGTGAAATCGATGATGCGTTGGTTGAACAATCCGCTCAAGGAGAATTAACAGTGAAGGGGAAACGTGGAAAAAAAACCAAGGCTGAAAGACTAAAATTACAAGCGGGGCTTGTACCGCGGCATTCGCTATGATTAAGTGAAATTTCTTCGTCTTCCAATGTTTAGTCAAATAATCTAGAATATACGAGGTATCAAAAGTGAGGCCTCGCAAAGAAGACTGAATGCATTGAGGAGATTGCATAAGATTTCTTTTTTAATAATTTTAGAACCAATGTTGCCAATTAATAAGCTAGAGGAGATTCGTCGAAAGTTAGCTTTTGACCGATGTTTCTCCTCTTGTACCAGCAAGATTTGGAATTTTTTGTCAAAATGAGTTTGGTGTGTCAATTCTGGGGGATAATGAACAGGTTCTTCATATGGAAATTCAGAATGCTTCGGTTTCGGGAAAATTTTTTGTTTCAGCAATCTAAACTAAATCTACAAGACTGGCACGGCAGAATCTTTGGTCCAATTTGGATGCTTTTCGACAGAGTTTTGGAGGTGTACCTTGGATGGTGGCGGGTGATTTTAATGTGATTCGATCATTGGAGGAGTATTCCGGAACTTCTGTCCAAGATCATTATGCTATAGAGAACTTCAATGATTGTATTGCTGCATGTGATTTGCTAGAACTTCCTTCAGTTAGTGAAGAATTTCCTTGGGGTGGAACACGGCAAACGGGATGGGTTAGCAAGAAGCTTGACCGAATTCTTTTTTCCAGCGAATGGAACTTGTTATTTCCAATTTCTTTTGTTGAGAATCTCAATAGGATGACTTCCGATCACAGCCCTCTTCTACAAAAATTTGAACAACAAGTGGTTGATAAGCCCAGGCTATTTCGTTTTTAGAACATGTTGTTCAGGCGTCTTGAGTTTCTGGATCTTGTGAAAAAGAGCTGGGAGGAGCCGGTGGAAGCTTATGGCATGCTTGCGTTTTCTTTAAAATTAAGTCGATTAAAAGGTGTATTAAAGGAGTGGAACAAAACTGTTTTTGGGAACGTTTTTGAAAACATCCGAAAGGAAGAGGAAAGGGTGCAAACGCTCGAGAGTGTATATGATGGTGATCCGTTGAAGGTAAATCGAACTAATCTTCATGCTGCGAAAGCTTCACTCCTTGCTAAGCTTAAGGAACAAGATGATTTTTGGCGCCAAAAAATGAGATTAAAATGGTTAAAAGAAGGTGACGCCAACACTAAATTCTTTCATGCATCATTGGCGGAAAGGAGGTTACGAATGGGAATTAATAGAATTCAAGCGGATGGTGGAACTTGGTTGGAGAATAGGAGCCGAACTGAAGATGAAGCTGTTAATTTCTTTAAGAATCTGATGAGTGAAGAGCCTTGTGAAGGTACGGTAGAAGCTCAAGAGTCCCTTATCAAGCATATCCCTACTATTTTGAAAGATGATGATAATATACTCCTTACTAAGCAAGTAGAGCTTGAAGAGCTGTGAGAGGTTGTGTTTAATCTCAGTGATGAAAGTGCACCAGGGGGTGGATGGTTTTGGAGGCTCTTTTTACCAGCATTGCTAGGGAAAAATATCTAATGACCTTCTAAATGCATGCCGGGAATTTATGCTTGGGATTCCTTTGCCGCGAGCAGTTGCGCATACTATGGTTGTGCTGATACCAAAGAAAGCTACTGTTTCTTCTTTTGCGGATTTTTGTCCGATACGTTTTGTGTAACTTTCTCAATAAAATCTTCACAAAAATTATCACGGAAAGACTGAAAATCCTTTTGCCAAAACTGATATCGGACGAGCATCGGCATTTTTGGCAGGGTGAGACATTACATATAACATCTTGTTAACTCAAGATTTGTGCCAATTTCTGAATAGGAAGGCTATAGGGGATAATATGATTCTCAAAGTGGATATGATGAAAGCATTCGATCGGGTATCCTGGTCTTTTTTGGCTAGGGTTCTGCTAGCTTTTGGCTTTTCGCAGCACTTTATTGCATTAATCTTGAACAATCTGAAGGGGAGCTGGTGTCCGATTTCGATTAATGGAGCTCCGGCCGGATTTTTCCAAGCAACAAGGGGTATAAAACAAGGTGATCCACTCTCTCCATTCTTATAAGGGTTCTTTTCCCTTTGTCTACCTGGGCTGCCGAATATATGTTGGTCGCAGAAAGGCTTCGACTTTTCATTTTTGCTAGATGCAATTGATCAGCGGATTACAAGCTTGAAAAATAAATTTTTAAACCGGGCTGGAGATTACTTCTAATAAAGCATGTCTTGTGTGCTATCTCGATCCATGTATTTGCGGCAATACCTCCACCAAAGTCGGTTCTAAGGGGAATTGAGAAACGCTGTCAAAACTTTCTTTGGGGAGAATCGGAAGGAAAACAGAAGAGGCATTGGAGGGCACTGAATGGTCTTATCTATCCGACTGTCGAAAATGGAGTTGGTCTACGTAGTTTTGAAGAAGTCATTACGGCCTTTTCCGCCAAACTATGGTGGAAAATCAATCGGAAAGCTGGTCCTTGGAGTCAGGTTTTGCTTTCTTTGTCGGCAACCGTGGGTAGGAAAACTTCATGGAAACGAATTGAAGAAATTCATCTTCGTGCTAGCTCCCTCACCAAGATTATAATCCGCGGCGGCAATAGTTCTTTTAGGCACAATAATTGGTTGCATTTGGGCATTCTCTGGGACAACATGACATTGAAACCTCCTCGGCCAAGCTTCTCTGTTAGGCAGCTTTTTGATAAGAAATATCGTTTGATAGAGGAATTCTCAAGTGTATTGCAAG